AGGAAGGAAGGAAGGAAGGAAGGAAGGAAGGAAGGAAGGAAGGAAGGAAGGAAGGAAGGTAGGTGCGTGCCTGAGGGAGGTGCAGTGCTGCGTCTAGTCGAAGCCCTTGATGGTCTAGGTTCTCGGGCAGGTCTAGGGCAGGTCTCGGCTCTGGGGAAGCATAGGGAAGGAAGACAAGACTGAAGAGCTTTCAGGTGCTGTGATGAAGGGGCAGTAGACGGGACAGCAGCTGCAGGCCCCTGCCAGGAAAGAGCCGGAGGAGTCCCAGTGAAGTTGGCTAGAATTACTCCCACAAGATTCATGTCTGTGGTTTTGGAAGGAGAAGTAGAGAAAGGGAGATGTAAGTTTTGGACTTCGAGGCTTACAAGCAGGAATGGGTGTTGAACAGCTAAGAAGCAGACTACAGTGCTGATAGAAGAGCTGTGTAGACAAAAATTCTCAAATGTCATTTGCAGATTTTCAGAACCATTGTTAGTAACTCTCTGGATTGTATTTTTCACCTCAGTGTTAATTAGACACAGTCTTGCATCCATGAAGATGTTAAATCAATTTAGGTGCAATGCTTTATTTCTTATCTATTTTGACCCCTGGTTTCTACACAGTCCACAGCAGGAGCATCATTATTGGCTAATGCCTCACCTCTGACTCTCATGACATCACCTTTGTCTGTAACAAATCAAACTGTGACTCCTTTTGGGATGCTGGGTGGCCTTGTTCCAGTGACCATGCCCTTCCAGTTTCCCTTGGAGCTACTTGGCTTTGGAACGGACACAGCTGGAGTGACAACCACCTCGGGATCTACCTCAGCCGCTTTCCATCACAGCCTAACTCAGAGTAAGTGGGGCTCTATTTCAAATGAACACATGGACCATCCACACCACGTTTCTGTTGTAATGAAGTATGTAGGAGAAAGTCACTGTGGGGGATTTCTTAGCATGCTCATGGCTGTATTTACATAAGTCAACTTTTTCAATATATGTGTGGTAGTGTTAGAAAGCTCTTGGTGCCGGGGCTTACACTGGTGTTAGAGAAGACAGGTTCTTGCTGAGTTGGAGCTAAGGGGCTCACATCAGAAAGATCACTGACAAATCTGTTTTCCTCTCAGATTTACTAAAGAGTTTACAACCGGGAACTCAGCATGCAGCAACACTTTCCCACTCACCTCTGCCTACACACTTACAGCAAGCATTTAATGGTAAGCAAGCTGCTCGCTTCTATTATTTCTAACTGTATATAGATGCGGATTTAATTTCCTTCGAACAGTGGGAATGGAATGACAAAATGTTGAGGGGGGCATCATTTGACTGGATCCTCAGTGGCAAAAAAAAAAAAACACTTTGAGGAGAAAGAAAAAGGGTAAATGAGATATGTTAGACACGAGGAAAAGCTTTTATTATATAGACATGTTACCTAAGCATGGATTCATAAAATAATTAAGCAAAGTCATAGAAGTTGACAAGAAGGCTCAGCAGGTAAAAGTACTTGAGTTCTGTCCCCAGAACTCACAAAAAGAGGACACTAGGCACACACATGATGATACATATGCATACATGCAGGCAACACTCCCATATACATAAAATGAAAACTAAAATAAACTATATACCAGTTTACTCTTGAGCATTAGGCAGAAATTGGAACTGTGCTTCAGTCTGGAGGCAATAGGCTGTCCTTAATATCATGGTCATTCCTGTAGTCAGCTGCCCAAAACTCATCCTTGAGAGAAGGAACATAAACCCCTTATGACATTCCTGCTCTTGATTCAGCTTGAATATATTCCTGTTCTGTGATCCAGTGGGGGACATGAGCTCTTGAGGATTGGTATGAATGTGACCACCTACAAGGAAGTAAGACAGACAGGATTCTTGATGATCAAAAGACCCCAGTGTTCCTGCTCTATGTGAACTATCTTATTTGGTCAACACCACTCTCCCAGAACAGGAAAAAGAGGACTAAGTATTTTCCAAATAACAAAAGTTTAATTAAAACTTTTCATTTAAAAAGTATGATATAAGGCATTAAACTTGAGTCTGGATTTTAAATTGTAGAATTGCTAATTTGGAAAAGCTTCACCAACACTTCTATTACCCCACACTGAAGACAAAAAAAAAAATATTTTTAATAGATGTCATATGGGAAACTAATAAAAATAACTGATTGAAAGAGTCTCATCTGGTAAATGGTTGATAATAAGAGCCCACTAGTGTTTATTCTTTTTTTTATTGTTATTTTATTTTTATTTATTTATTTTGGTTTTTCAAGACAGGGTTTCTCTGTGTAGTTTTGGTGCCTGTCCTGGATCTCACTCTGTAGACCAGGCTGGCCTCGAACTCACAGAGATTTGCCTGGCTCTACCTCCCGAGTGCTGGGATTTAAAGTCGTGCACCACCATCACCTGGCTAATTTTTATGTGGTTTTTTTGGGGGGCGTGGGGGTGAGAAAGGGTTTCTCTGTGTAGCTTTGAGCCTTTCCTGGAATTCACTTTGTAGCCCAGGCTGGCCTCACACTCACAGAGATCCTCTTGCCTCTGCCTTCCAAGAACCGGGATTAAAGGCATGCACCACCACTAATGCACCCGGCTAATATTTATTTTCTTATTCTTATCTCAAAAAGAGGTCAAAAAAGGTTTTCCTTGTTTTTGTTTTCAGAGACAGTGTCTCACTGTGTAGACCTGGCTGGCCAGGAACTTGCTTTATAGATCATACTGGCCTTGAACTCATTGTATGCTGTGTGCCACAAAGCCTAAGTGGCACAAATAATAAATATTTTGGAATCTGCAATCCTATAATATTTTTTACGACTACCTAACCTTATCATTAGAATGTAAAATAGCCACAAATAATTTGTAAACAAGTGAATAAAGCTGACTTCCAATAAAACTATATTAACAAAAACAGGTGGTAGGCCAGATTTGGCCATGGGCCATACTACACTAAACTCTGGTATGAAGAATTTTAGTCTAGTTAATTTGAACAAAATCTTAGTACCTTACCATTTTATAAATTTGATTATATTGTTGATCAAATTATTTCTCTCTACAAATTAATATATAGATATGTCTTACTATGAATGAAAAAGGCCCTGGTTATTTAGTAGAACTGTTAATACAACTTTAAGTAATCGCTAACAATGATACAGTTTTTCTTCTAGGACAGGCTGTGTTTTAAGTTTTTTTAATGTTTTCCAGCATTGAGTATGACATGAGTGAATCTGGCCGTATGACTTAGGGTCCCAGTCATTCCTCTTCCCTTGAAGGGTTTCCTTCCCTTATCATTTTCTCTCAGACTGGGTCTTTATTTTCCTTACCAGGGCTCTGGACTTACGGAGACTTTATATCTGTTGGCCCTCTGGGTCATTGGGTCCTACTCTTGCCTGGGTAACTCCTTTTCCTCTCCTTCCAGTTATTTTAGAAGTATTTGGCTGAGGATCAAATAGAGTGGTTTTGTATTTTCTATAAACAGTGAAGGGCAACAGAATCAGTAGATGTGGAAACTAAGCTGCCAGCCAGCAGCCTTGCATCCTGTACCACAAGGCTGGGACCTAAACAAAGACATAGCTGGACTTTCTTCACTACCAATTTGATGTGTTCATAATACTTGGGAATTATCACATGTCATATAATGGCAAAATATTTAATTTCTCTTACAAGAAAGTAAGACCTAGTCTTCTAAAGGAATCAAAATATGGGGTAGGTAGATCCCTTAAGGTGGGCAGTGTGTGTGATCTGGTTCCTCTGTAACCCAGCATTGGGCATGAGTATGAGGTAAATAAATGGTAAACACCTACTGGAATAGTTTTTAATATAGTTTTTAGTCACTGAGTTTTACATCTTATGTTTCAACAACTTCTATAATGCCATCAACATGTGAGATAAAGGTTATCTTTTTAGAAATGGAATTCACAATAAACATGCTTGTTTTTTTCTTTTTTACAACATGCCAAACCATATTTAACGTTTCTTTTCTCAGATGGAGGCCAAAGTAAAGGGGACACTAAGTTACCACGGAAATCTCAGTGACTTCCCAGCAATCAAGAGAGGAATCATTTGGCTGGCTGATGGGACCTACCTGATGGGAAAGTCTTATGTGGTCACAGGGCTGCTGTTTCTGTCGATGTTTACATTCTCGTCCCAAGCACTGTGGTGAGGAGGAAAAGGAAAGAAAATGTTACTTGAGCAAAGCCAGGTGCAGGAAGGAGGAAGAAATGCTTTTGTGCAAAGTTAGTGACTTTTGGTCTCTTAAAGTTCCCATCTTAACCTGCTTCAAAGAGACTCAGCTGTCAAACCCACAGAAGTACCAATTTGATTGTTTTTTAAACCTGCGGGGAGAAAGAAGGAAGTTGAGAGGATTTGGGTAAATGGCCATCCATCCTGGGGGTTGGATCTGAACACTCTACATATAAGCGCATAATAAAAGCAACTAAAAGTAGAATTAGCCCAGTGTGAGGAGAATCAGTCTGTGTAGGGAACAGATTTACCACAGTCAATTGCATGATGCTCTCCAGACAGTAGCCGAAGAGTACTGTACCCTCAAATGTCCTGAGCAAACTTGAATCTTCTCCAGTATGTAGCAGTTCCCAGTGTAAGTCAGCAGACTGAAGAGGCTTCAGCAAAGTTGCTGTAGCATAGTAATATATATTACTATATCTTTTAGATTTTTAAAGTCAGGAAAGTGAGCCTGTTGCTCTTTACAGACAAAACGTTGATAATGCCCTTTTTGTAAAAGGGTCTATTTTATTCTCCATTCAGAAGTAGGTACTGAACTCCTTTCTGCAGCTGCCTTGTCACCTGGTGTTGACTGGTTAGTATTTATTTCTAGTTCTGATGCGCAGAAGTGAGTGTTCATATTTTCTCTTGATATTTGGGGTCTTTGTTGTTGGGCTGCTGCTTTGCTGCTCATCTCCCTTGTAGCCTGCCAAGAGCTGCAGATGCCCAGTTCCCTCACTGCACAGTGCTCTTCACTAGTGGTACTTCAGGTGACTAGAGCTGTTGATATAAACACATCTGGTTCTTTAGGAGTCAACCAAATAACATATACAGAATAGTATACTGTTTTAAAGGGATGAATTCCAGTGGGAATTCTGATGTGCACAAAGGATCACCTTTTTTTACTATCACAATGAAGCTTTATGCCCCATATCCAGTGCAGTAAAAATGTTTTGAGCATTTGGAATCTTAAAGTTTTACTAGAATTTACTCAGAATGTTGATATTCAAGTACACCTCCAGATAATTAAGATCCTTTAATTCTGGTGTCTGTATGTGAAGAAAAGCAATGAAGGGTGTGAAGGGGAAACATATAATTCTCTTTGGATACATTTTGTTTTGCCTCAACTACATTGTGGTGTCCCTTGAATTTTAAACTTCTGAGTATTTTCAAATTATCTAAGAATAGCATAAGCTCTAAGTGATGTAACTACTTTATATATGATTGACAGACTAGCCTGGTAATAACAAGGTTGCTTTCATATTCTCATTACATATTACCATGTACCATTAAGTTTATACAGACAAGAGTGTTAACCAGACCCCATTTTCCTTTGATAAGCAAAAGTCCCAAGAAGCCTCTAGGACTATAATAACCAACCACAGATCTGCTCAGATTTTTATGCCTATAATTTGACTTCAAAGTCACATTGACATGCTTCATAGCAAAAAGTCAGTGAATAACTGAAAACTTTAGTTCCAAGAACTTGTTGCAGTAAGGGAAAAGGATTGTTCAGAAGAACCATTGAAGCTGGGTATTCTGGCCCACGCTTGTAATCCCAATACTCAGGAGGGTGAGGCAGGAGGATCTCAGGTTTGAGGCCAGCCTGGAGTATATAGCAGTGAGACCCAGGCTAGTTTGTACTGGGCTGACAATGGGACCCTGTCTCCAAAAAAAAAAAAAAAGAAAGAAAGAAAGAAAGAAAGAAAGAAAGAAAGAAAAAGAAAAAAAGGAAAGGAATCATTGTTATAATTTCTTGACTGTAGTAATTTTGTTTACCAATAAAACAAATACAGATGCTATATGAGCCCTAGTAGATATTTTGGAAAAATACAGGGACATTGCAGAGCTTTGACTTGAATTTAACATGTTAAGTTTCATTTGAAAGGTCTCTTAGAGAAGCTTGCTCAGCTCTTGGCTTTCTCTAGCACCAGGTGACTTCTTTTTAAACAAGCCTGCTCGCTCATACTGCCTGGGCTGCTGTGCTGGGGGTGTGTTTAGGAAGGCGGCCTTGGGCTTCACTTCCTCTACCCAGGGAGAAAGAAGTCAGGGCATATTAGTCTCTCTTCCTGCTGATACCTGTGTGTTTGTGTGTTTACATAGACACACACATTCATATAAATCAATTGCTATTAAAAGTCAAATAATGATAATTGTAGTTTCTTAAATCCATCAATTCTGAACCATACTATATGAAGGCCCCTTGTGGTTCTTTGCCATCATTAGAAAAGAACAAGATTAGTAATTCTCTTTCCTGTGTCTTTTTATAAAATTACCTGAAGCAGGGGGCTCTGAGAATATAATATGTAAAGTATATTTTGTTCCTGTCAGTCCTGATTCCCCAAGGGCTGCTGTTAGAACCCTACTTCAGCAATCCTTTCATGTTATACAGATGAATCAGAGTCATTTCTACATGTAAATACATTTCTTTCTATATCATAACATTGAAAATGGTGTCCATACTTTATGGTTACCTGTCTTTACACTTTTTCTTACTAAAAACAAGCATATAAGTTGGTTATTTTTTAACAGAGACTTGCAACTCATGCTGTATTTTTGCACTTAAAGTCAGATTATGTTATTTTTTAAATGGTGAGTAACTGGAAAGGATATCTGTAGAGCAATGTGTATCGCTAAAGAACATTAGCAACATCCAAATGCAGAAGTAAATCAGCACACTTAGATCCCATTCATGGGGTACTTGATTCAGGAAGATTAAGCTATTTGTTTCCAACTGTCTTATATTTGAAATTGCCTTCACTAGTGTCTAAGCTGTTACTGTACATACAAGGTGATCCTCAGTATTCACAAGCAATAACAGTCAGCAGAGCTGTCCTCGGACAGCAGTGCTGGACCTCAGTTGGAGACTGTTTGGGAGCAAAGTGTCAAGCTCATTCAGAGCCTCCGAAATAAATGCAAGCAATAATTTCTATTAAAATTAAATTATAATTCTTCTCATGCTTCTGAGAACAGAGTGAGAAATCATGATTTTAAAACAATCTGGAGAAAAGATTTGGGGAAAAGAAGCCAAGTTAATCTATAGTAAGATAGTCCTTATACTTCGAAGAAATCAAGAAGATTCAATTAGTACATTGTTTTATGCCCACCACCCCTTTGATGGATGTTATTAACCCAAATTATGTTGTTTTGTGTCATAGACACTGAATAAGGCTTATTTGGGTCCCAACACTGGGGAAAGAACCGGGCATATACCTGTTTAAAGACTGTGGGTTTGACACCTGCTTGGAAACAGCTTATTGGAACTGATCTCAACCCAGAATATTTTTTCCCAAAGCAGATCTAAAATTGTTTACTATGCAGAGATGGAAAGGGCAGGCACCCCTATTCTTTCTCCTCTGGTTGCCCTCTCCCACAATCCTTTCCACCTCTACTTGGTTCAAGACTTTCTAAAATGAAAATTCTATTGTTATTGCAACTGCCATTGGTTATGAGAACTCTGTCCTTTGGGATTGTCTCTAGAACTCGTTATCTGTCCTACTTGCTGCTACATTTGGAAAATGAATATGCCTGTGTTGGTTGACTTTACCTTCTCTATTTGTAGGAGATTTTGTCATGTCCTTTGACCCCTGTGTAGAAGAACTAGGGTACTTTATTTCAGGAGTGTACTATGAAAGCACACTGGTCCTTGTCTTGTTATTATTATCTAGGTTTTGGATTTGTTTCCTTTGTTTGTTGGGTTTTGTTTTGTTTTATTTTTCAAATTGAAAATAGAATGACGAAAATCTATACTCCAGGCCAAACTTGAGAACTGTCCTGAGCTTCAGCAAGAGTACTTCTGCTGACCTAATGTTCTCTGAAGGGCACTTTGACTTTTAGTTGTACATGTGTGACTGTTTGTTTGTTTTTGCTTTGGGGTTGCTTTTGGTTTTGTAAAAACAAAGCAGAAAAAAAGTACAGTAGTAGGTAAATGATCACAAACATGTTATGCAATTTTATTTTATAAAATTTTAAGGGAAAAGTTTTAACTCCTTGTAAATAATTTCTTATCTCTGGTAAAATGCTTATATTACTCCTCTAAACCATGCTCAATTCAGGCCTTTGTCTTTGTTAAGTGCCTTTTATTTCTTTCTTTTTCTCCCCTCTTTTGAAACTTTTCAGACACCCTCAAGTACATACTGATTAAGTCAGGAGATTCAGGAGAAAGAATCTCAGACTTGCCAAAATCATGTCATGTTATAATACTCTTCCTGTGCTTTGTATGTGTGGACACAAGTATGAGATGCACAGTGTGTGTATAAAACCAGGCACAGCTGTTCCGTGGCAATCTTTCTAAGCACTGCCCTTTGGACATTGCAGAACTTCTGCCTTGTTTATTCCATTGCTTTGAGTTGATTCAGGTGGGCAGATCGGGAAGTGGTCTTTGCACATGATGCTGGCTTCCCCTTCTGAGTATCTGTAGCAGTTAATGTGTGTGTGTGTGTAGGGCATTATATATATATATATAACATATATGTGTTGGTTATTGCAAACAGAATAAACTCGGTGGACTCATTGACTATTTCTGGATGTAATCCACTTCTCTCTACCCTTCAGATTTGGCAGAAGTAGTGTGTGAGGAAGCATCAGGATAACAAGAGTATCTTGTGGGTCAGTCTGATACGGTGCCCTATGCAGACGAGATTAAACACATGGAGGGCTAGACCTAGAACCATACAGTGGTAGTGAATATACTTTGAAGGAAGTTAGCACCCATGTCAATATTAAAAGGTGTTTTCTTCTGGAAAATTACCTGTAAGAAATTATATAGATGAATACCTTTAAAACTTCAATAAACTTAAGATTTTTAGATAGTGAGGAAACACTCATAATCTGCAACATACTTGAGAGATTTTCAATCTCTTTATTTTCCAGATGATTAGATTTTGCTCTGATTTCATGATTATTTAAATATCTTTCTTGAGCAAAATAATAGGACTTTCAATATCTAAGATTTATTTATTTATTTTTTAGATGTGACGTGTTGAAAGAGACTAAGTTGAACCAGTTCTCTAAACAGTACAAATATATCTATAAAGGACCCCATTTAAGTAATATTGTAATTGGAAAAGGAGACTGAAAGGCTAAAAGAAGCAGCTCCTGTAGCAGAGCTGTCATCAGGCAGCTGGGATCAGTAGTGAGTGTTAATTCCTAAACTACTTTATCTAGGGGATGTCATTTAACCTTCGTGCCTCAGATTACCCATGAGACAATTGGGTATAATAATAATCACCTACCTCCCAGGGATATCAGAGACTTTACTATTTCAAAAATATTTTGCGTTTTTCTAGAACATCCTATATAATTATAGTATTATCTTCCTGCAGAGGTTGAAAAACATATGTGGATATAAAGAGCACCCTTTATGGTCTTTATGTTTAAAAAAAAAAACAATCACTGGAATTTTAATTTAGATGCATATTTGATATTTAAACATACCATATTTGTAGTGTGGTAGAATTATTAGTTTCAGATTAAATCAAAGGAGATGACACTAAGTTTCTTAACTACCAATAGCTTTTTTTTTTAAAGCTTTTATGATGTTATTACTTGTGTGATGTTTTCAAAGGTTGTGAAAGGAAAGTTAGATAAAGTTTGGTTTACTGATAAATGATCCTTAAAGGTTATAGCCTCCCTCTTATACCTTCTGAATCTAATTTCTTTGTAGTGCTTGCTTGGTGATGGAAACTTAAGTTTTTACGTTTCTAAGAGTAAATCAGACCCTGCACACTGCTCCTGTGTCTGTAGGTTTATCGGGCTTTGCCCTGGGGGTGGGGCAGGCCTACACCTAGGCAGCTGTCTATATTTAACTTTGCAGTGCATGCTTCTATGAACAAGTTGGAACCATCAGCTGCTCAGGCTGTAGGTGGGAGAAAGAAGATAGGATTCACTTCCTGGCTAGGGCAGAGGTAGAGATGGTCAGGGTTTGACAAGGAGACATGATTTCCCTAGCTCCCAGGAGATTAGATCATTTTATCTCACTTTCCATTTGTGCATACTGAGTAATAAATAATCCATGAAATGTTTCTCTTTAAAACAGCAGGGGCAAATGAGTGCTGCAATCTTTGTTAGGGCTGAATAGTGTGTGTGTGTGAGAGAATGAGTGTGGGTGAGTTTAGATTGCAGCACACATCAGGGTCAGCAAAGACAGAGAGTGCACGGTGTTGAGGAACAGGTCCTCAGCTCGTGTGAGTTAGGAGAAAGCACTAGGCCTAAGCAGTTGCCACATCCAGGCTGACCCCAGAACTGGCTCTGACCTGGTCTTTCTCTAGTCCTAGGGGATTTTCTGTTGGTGGTGGTTGTTTTTCTAAAATCACTTTGGGGATTTTTGTTTATTTTTTTTCTCTCCTCCCGATAGGCCTTAGTTCATAGCCTCTAAGTATCAGCTATGCAGATAAGCATACTCTTTGTTTTCCACATTTCCTTCTTGTTCCATTCTTCAGTAACAAATGTGAAAATTTCAACTCAAAGTAATAAGGTTTAGGAGTTTTGTTGAAAGTGTGAGTGTTTTCTCTGGGGAAGAGTAACAGCAGCCTAAAACCAGATATGTTGTCTCTGTTCATCTGCCCTAAAATGTGAACTTGACATAAAAAGCTAGCTGATGATCCTTTTGCCTGTGCAGACCTAGAGTTAGTGTCGTGGAACATGGTTGAGCTTTTATGAAGTCACCCAGTGTGATGCTGAGAGTTTAGTTAGTGTTTAGTTAGTGTGTGGTTGAGCTGAGAAGATGCTCAGCTCTGGTTGAAAACAGCTTCAGTATTCATGTTGAAGTCTCCATTGCTCGTCTTTGTTCTTGCCTTTGGTGTGGAGCTCTCGGGTCACCCACTGTTCCACTACGATGGAAGGAAAGGTCAATTGTTTCCACATCCTCTTCTCTGTCACTTTCCCATCTGCCCTCTGTCCCCATCCAACACAGAGTATAGAGGAGCATTTACATCTCAGCAGAGACATAAGCATAGGTTATCTTTAGAGTTTAGTGGAAATACCTTTGACTACCTGATGCTAAGTGACACTTTTCTCATGTACTCTCTAAGTACCATTTGCTTTAGAGTGGTTCTTTGTGATCTCCTTGGGTTGTGATGTTTCTACTTCTGTGTTTCCTATGAGTTCCCATTTCATAGCAATTGATACTCAAACTTGGTGTCCTTTTTACACTGATACCCACACTGGTCTTAGTACAATTAAGTACAACTAAGGTTCTGTACATAGTCCAGAACTTGGGGATTTTCCCTCTCCTCGTTTATATTAAAAAAAAGATCTCATAGGCTGAGGGTGGAGCTCTTGCCAAGCATTTGGGAAGCCTAGAGGTCCCTACCCAGCAGTGGAAAATAACAATAAATACATCTCATTTTTACACAACACCTGTACCTTTCAAGATTCGTCAGAAGAAATAGGATCTTCTTTAGAGGCTTGTAACAGTCTGCCTTGCTGGTTTTCTTACCTCCCTAGAACAGAGCTTTTTGACTAAGGTCTTTTGAGCCAAGCAGACCATTGAATCCTTAGTCCCAATTTTAAGTTCCCCCGAAGACTATCATTTGCCCCCACTTTGCTACAGTTACATAATTCAGTTTGACCCTGAGTATGGCTGCTGGGTGCTTGGTGGTAGAGCTTTGACTGACACCAGATAACAAAGTCAGCAGCTCTATCTGTCTTCAGAGTACACTTAGGAATCAACAACCAAGAATCGCCATTGTCTGCCCGTGTGACAACTTATATTTAAAATTTCACAACCTTAGTGTATTTTCTCTATTTATAATCATAAACTTTCCTTCATTCTTACTGTTTGCAGAAACATTGTGCCCTGTCAGAAAATTGGTTTTCCCTCACACTGGCAAGGATTTGCCCAATTTCAGCTAGAAACATAAAAAGGAAAATAAATTTTTGTCAGTTGACAAGGGTATTTGTTTTAAATAGTTAGAAAGTTGAGCCAGATTTGGTTAGCTTTCTTGACATTTCGGCTCTGCCTCCATAATACATTATATGTTTGACATGTGATCGAGGGACTTCTCCCATCGAGGGAGCTTGGTTTCCCTCCCATACAGCTTCCTTTGAGTCGTAGCTAGCCTCCGAGAAGAGAGCCAAGCTTTGCAGTGACCGATTGTCAACTATCATTGAAAAACTGTCTTAGTCTAGAAGATAGTGGAGTGCTAAACCATTCTTGGAGGAGAGTGTTAATTTGAGCCTCCCCGGGGTTTCTCTTGTTAAACAGTGTCAATTTTTAAGGAAAGGAAAATATTCTCTGGCTGGTGAAAATTTTGTGCGCCAAATAATGAACGTAAGTCTAACCAAGGTGACGAGGAGATGGGTGTTTTCTCTCTTTGCTTGTGAGCAAGGTTTATTTATGATTGTCAGAATTCCCGTGGAACTGCAGACCTGTTTGCTATAACCTGAAAATAAGAGCCTGAATTATAGTTTGGTAAAGCACAGATTTCCAACCCTGTGTCCAAGTTTAGCTAAGGGGAGACTTGTTTAGTAACAGAAGGAAAACTTGTTATTTATACAGTGAGTGTCCACTCTACAGAGCTGCCCACCAGGGAAACGGTTCTTCCTCTTCTGTCAGCTCCACCCTACACAAATGTTACTGTGTTTGCAAGCCAGCCTCCAAGAAAGGAGCCTGAGAAGTTGATGGTCCTTTAGGGGAAGGCCCTAATTACTGTGTTGCAGCTGCTCGCAGGAAGTTGTATTTTTACTAACTTGAAGGAATATATGCTGTATTTCAAATAAGTGTGTGACTTAATACTTTGGGATTTTTTTTTTCCTCTAAAAACTGGACCTGAACACAAGCTTTGAGTTGGTATTTGTAATAATCTCAGGACCTGAAAGATTGTAGCATTTAGTGTGTCTTAAAAATTATGTACTGTACCAGCCATGGAGTTTTGTAAATATACCTGTCTCCCTTTTTTTGTATTATTTTAGTAAATAAATAAATAAATTTATAAAAGGGGTGGTGATGACGTGTGTGTGCGTGCGTGCGTGCGTGCGTGTGTGTGTGTGTGTGTGTGTGTGTGTGTGTGTAAGGCTCTTTTAAGACAGACTGGTGCTTGTTGAATTTCTAGTTGGGCTCAGCAGGAATATGCACACACTGCTGCTCTGACCCTGCACTGAGCAAGGAGCAGGTCCTTGGTCCTGCCTTCCCAGTGCTCTCTGCAGTACTAGCAAATGGGAAGGCACTTAGAACCCAAGCTCTGCTCCACACCCATCTTGCCCTTGCCATCTTGGTCTAGTTCTAGCACCCTTTAAACTCTGGCACTAAAGCTTCTACACTTCACCAATTCCTGGTTTTAGAACTCATAACTTTCCTAAGAAAAATAGAAGGGCAGGTTTAAAAAAAAAACAACAACAACAACAGAAGAGCCTCACATTTCCTAAGACTCCTGATGAATTTGGATACGTGAGAACGTAGACATTCCTACCCGTGAATTTACTAAACTAGCCCCGTGATACACTCCTTCAGTGCAGGGATTTTTGTTTGTTTTCCTTTGCAGCAGCCTTGTTCATATTCCAGGTGTAGCTAGCAAACCCATTTTGAAATAAGAGCCTTACTTGATTCAGACAGAATAGATGTTTCCTGTCTATCCTTTGTGACAGGACCTCTTACATGAGTGTGTTTTTTTTCTTTTGTATATGTTATGTGTTTGTTGTATTAAATAAAGAAGACTGTAAATATTACTTCCGTGTCTCTTGTGTTATTGCGCTAACTTGGGTTTAAATGTTCCACTCTCAGCAGGAGTTGAGAGTCTGTATTATACTGTATCTAGCACCATGGGCAATGAAAGAAAGAAACGGTACAGCAGCCTGCTCGTTGTGTTCCTAAACATTTTGCTATCACTTGACAATACACAATTGTCAAGAATTATTCAAACTTGGTATACAAAAATGTGCTCCCTTGCCATGGGACATTTGAGTTCTGTTCTACAGCAACAGAGGAAGGCTCCAAGAAGAAGAGAAAGCTTTAGGTGGACCTCCAAGGACAGGTCCAGAAGTGGCAGGTAGAAGTCAGGAGGAAGTGGCAGGTAAATGTGCTTGGGAGGTGTACATTTGAGTGGCTGAGGAAGGCAGATGGTAGAGTCCTAGAATGCAGGCTCACTAGGTTCTTCCTGTAGGCAATAGCATGTGTTGTGCACAGAAAATATGCCCAGCATATTGATATGAACAATATGAATCTGTGCATAGAAAATATAGACAGGGACATAGATCCCCAAAATATGAACAGTGGTTTGAGTGCTTGTTCTCATTTTCCTTTTACATTGTGTAGTTTCAGTATCTTGTCTTGAAGATGAAAAGGACTGCTAAGAATTTCAAATGGCATCAGCTGTTTGGAACTACTGATTAAAGACAGCTGTATCTGTGGTCTTGCTGTCGTTCTTACTGGCCATGGAAGCACTTCTTAATGCCTCCCAAAAACCTCCGAAACACCTGAGTTAAATAATTTGATGTGCCAGGCAGTGGTGGTGTACAGCACTCAGGAGGGAGAGGCCGGTGGATCTCGGTGAGTTTGAGGCCAGCCCGATCTACAAAGCAAGTTCTGAAACAGCCAGGATTGGAGGGGGGGGGGAGAAAAAGATGTAATTACTCAGTGATGTCATACTTTTGTACTTGTATAATATTGATGTATTAAAGTCGCCATTGTGGTATTTTTTTTTTTAGAGATTTACTTTTATTTTTGTTTACAAGCGTGTATGTCCACTTGTGGGTATATGAGTCTACATGTGAGTGCCCATAAAGGCCAAAAGAGAGTTGCATCCCCTGTAGCTGAAGTTATAGGCAGTTGTGGGCCATCTGATATGGATGCTGTGAACTGAATTTGGGTCCTCTGAAAGAGGAATGAATGTGCTCTTTAAGCACTGAGCCATCTCTTCCGACCCCTAAAGATGCTGTTGTCATCAGTCAAGGTATTTAAAAGATCTGTTATTGGGTCAGCGAGATGGCTCAGTGAATAAAGATGCCTGCTGCCAAGCCTAATAGCTCCAGTTTGATGCTTTGCCCACATGATGGAAAGTGAGAACCAACTCCTGAAATTATCCTCTGACCTTTATATTCATATGCTCTCCCCCCCCCTCTCTCTCTCTCGCTCTCTCGCTTGCTCTCGCTCTCTCTCGCTCTCTCACTCACTCTCGTGCTCTCTCTCTAAATAAAATGTACTTTTTAAAAAAATCCATTATGGGTTTGACACTGTCTTACACAAAGCAGTAAATAAATAAATAATAGCTTTACTATTATTCATATATACTAAAAAAAATTTTTTTGAGGCAGGGTTTCTCTTTGTGGCCTCTACTAGCCTTGAACTTGCAATCCTCCTACCTCAAACTCCTAAATGCTAGATTACAGTTGTGTGCCGCTGTTCCTGATATAACCTTATTTCATCATTTCTTCTGTCCATGAAAATGGAACTTAGAAAACTTTTTGAAGAAAGTCATCCAAAGAACTAAAAGGTTTCCGAATAAGCTAATAGAGAGCTAAGAAATAAGTGGGTTAGACCAATGCTGCCATGTAGACCCGAATGGGGAGCAGGTGTTTAGAAGGAAGTGTTACTAAACTGGAAAAATTTGTTAGGGTAGGCCTTTAATACCAGCAGAGGAGTAAAGAGGCTGAGTTTGGGACTACTCTGATCTACATACTGAGTTTCAGGCCAGCCTGGGCTGGATAGATTAACCCTGTCTCAGAAGAAAGAAGGTGAAACTGTGTTAATAAGGAAGCAGGTTTTATCTTTCAGCATGGAGACAGCAAAATGGAAAGTGGTTTAGGAAAGGTCTAGATGGAGTTTCAAGCCAGATTTAACAAATTGTTGGTGAAGGTACTTTGCTTTTCAAATTCTTAGGGGTGAGTGTGTAGAGATTGGAGTCCAAGTATGTTTGTAGCATTACAGTAACCGTATAGGAGTACAGGCTAACATGATAAGATTGGCTGGGTAAATCAAATGAACACTTCATAGCATGTCTTAAAATGATCAAACACCGAGCATGCTACTGCATACCTGTAATGTCATCTCAGGCTCATCCTCAGCTGCACAGTGAGTTTGAGGTCAGCCAGGGTTACGTGAGATCCTGTCAGAAAGAGCAGAGTGGTGTTACACTGTAGGAGAGACCCTGTGCTTTTCAAAGGACAGGGACAGTTGCCTCTTCTCCAGGTATATTCTAGTATGTCTTGTCATCTCAAAAACTTGTGTCATCCACATGTCCCTTGACGTGACTTGTCCTTTTCCGTGTGTATTTACCACCGTGTCCTGGTGTGTGTCCCTTCACTGTCTCCCCACTAATTTTTTTTTTTTTTACTAGTAGGGTGGCATATGTGAAGGAGAACAAGTTGTCATTAGACAGACGGGTTCACATGGCTCCACTATGAAACTCTTGCTGAACTCTTGTGTTCTTCCCCCCCCACCCCCCCATGAGAGTGGCTGGGTCAGACGTGGAGAGCACTGAGCAGAGTGCCTAGCACATACTGATGACGGCCACTGCAGTCACTCTTTCCCTGTCTTTGCTTCTCAATGCATGCTTCCTCTTCCCTGTTTCTCCAAAACACAGACGTGAAACAGTCCTGTGAAGTCCTGTGATCACTGCTTAGCACACGGGTATGGATAAAAACCCAGCTAAAACGTGACATCACGGGTGTCAGAAACTCCTGACTTACAAAGAATCTTGTGTCACATCTCAGCAGTCTTTGAAAAGGTACCCGGTGCAGGCGAAGCTTTATCTAGAGCTCACTAAAGTCCATCTCTTCACAGGTAGCCTACCTGCTGCTGGCCCCAGGCTGTTCTTCATAGTCACTGGGCTGCTGCAGTTCCAAACTCTGTGTAAGCACGTATCGCTTATAATGTGTCAGCTCAAAAGCATTCTCTTCCCTGATTATACGCTTTGTCCTTCTGTCCGTCCTTTAGTCCCTCACACTGTACTGCCCCATCCTGCAAGCACCTGTTGCTTTTTTGGTATGTTCCCTTGTGCATGCATCTTGGTAAGTAGCATTACTTCGAATACATACAGATTTAATCTATACAATTGAAACTATGCTATAAATGTCTCCGGCCTTTCCTGTGGGTTAATCTACATTGTTCCATGTACTTGTGTGCTTCTGCGGTCTGTTGCACCATTTTTCCTAAGTGTATATCCTACCCCACTGTAAACAGCTCATTCCCTAGAGGTGGATACCTGAGGTTGACCTTAATTCCTTGTTACCACCAAAAAACAAAACAACGAAAAGGCTTAGGGGGTCTCCCTTTCTGGGATTGCTTGTTCATCTTTGCTAGCTGTTCAATTGCACTTTCTGTCTTCACTGTAGACACTCCTCTCCTGTAAGTCTTAGGTGTCGTATTTTTATCCACTCCTTGTCTTTTAACTTTGTGTATGGTGTCCTTTACTAAACAGAAAGCCTTGCTCTTTAGTAGTCACATTTAGCAAGCATGGTAGCTCACACTCAGGAGGCTGAAGCAGGAGGACTGAGTTTGAGACCAGTCTAAGCTGCATAATGAGGTCTGGTCACACACACTTTGGGGGAGATAAGAATGAGAATATTTAGGTGTTTTCAGGGGTGGTTTCTAATATGCTTCCCTATCTAGACCACTGATTTTCTCCTTGAAGACTTGGCTCTCTGTCACTCATCTGCTGTCTATCTCATCTACCTCGGAATCCTCCCCCATCCATCTGTAGTGCCAGTGTTGTCCTCTGTCCAGTGCTCATGTACAGAAGGGTCTGCTTCTGAGATCTGAGAATGTGGGACTCCACGAGACTTTGTACTTCTGCATCAGCACCATACTGCTCATCATTCCTGTGGGTTTAGAGTGTGCCTTACATCAAGTCCCCAGTTGTCCTCTGCCCACCTGTGTTGAATGAGCCAATTGTGGATTTTTATTGTCATATAAATTTCACATTGTGCAGGGCTGGAGACATGGCTCAGTAGTTCCGAACACTTCTTCATGCAGAGGACCCAGCTGCACCTACATGGCAGCTCACAACCATCTATAACTCCAGCTTCAGGGGATCCAGTGCTCCCTTCTTACCTTGGTGGGCACCAGGCATGCACATGGTACACAGATAAACAAAATGCAAGTAAAACCTCATATGCATAAAAGTTTAATAAGCCTCACATTTCTAAAAATTCACATTGTGCTTGGTATGGGTAGTACATGCCTTTAAACCTTGCACTCTAGTGACAGAGACAGGTGGGTCACTGAGCTCAAGGCCAGCGTGGTGTAAATACTGAGTTCCAAGATAGCTAGCAGTACACAGTGTGACACCCTCTTTCAAAAAAAGAAAAACCACATTGCATTAAAGAATTAAGCTTTGGGCTGGAGAGATGGCTCAGAGGTTAAGAGAACTGGCTACTCTTCCAGAGGTCCTGAGTTCAATTCCCAGCACCCACGTGGTGGCTCACAACCATCTGTAATGAGATCTGGTTCCCTCTTCTGGCCTGCAGGGATACATGCAAACAACACTATATACATAATAAATAAATCTTTACAAAAAAAAAAAAAAGCTGAGGGCATAGAGAGTTGGCTTAGGAGTTAAGAGCTCTGGCTGCTCCTCCAGAGGACCTGGGTGAGTTGTAGCACCCACATGGCAGTTCACAACAATCTGTAACACCAGTCCTGGAGGATCCAATGCCCTTTGGCCTTCTTGGGGAACCAGGCACACACACACGGTGCACAGATACACATGCAGGCAAAATACCTATACACA